CCCCAAAACCCCAAAACCCCATTTGCCTAGATAAAATTAAAAATAGAAATAATAAAAATAAAATCTATAAATGCAATAATTAATGAGTGGAAGGCAACTCCCGAATCCTATTTTAGGAACAGGCCTCAATACTTATCAAACTAGAAGTCCTTCAGTGAGTCATTCGAACATATTCTAATCCCCAGGGGAGATAAGAGCTGAGTCTAAGGCTTACCAGCTACCAAGCAATTTATCCAAGAATACTTATCAAATCAATCAGACAGGAAGTGAATATTAAAATAATCAAATGCTCATTCCTAATAGTAATATGGCGAGTATGCTGCCTAATATCAGTTAAAATCCTTATTAAATACCTTAGAATCAATACCTAATTCAGTAGCAAGTAAATAATCCACTACTTGGAGGTGCTGTTGGAGTAGGCAGCAGAAGAGTGGACTTGATGAATCAACGAAAAAAAGAGAGGCTAAGGAATGATATGATCTCATAACTCGGACAATAGGTAATTTTGACTAGTATTTTTAAAGTTTATATAGTACTCCTAGTAAATTGATTCAATAGTAAACTAGTTTGCTGATCAGGAGATTCAGACTTTAAAGCCCTATGAAGAAATCCTCAAATCAATTATAGGCAGGATATAATATTAAAATCAACCTTAAACTTTAAAGCCCATAGATACAAGTTTTGAATACAAGCATCAAAATTAAAAGAATAACATTAATAAATCATTCATGGAGGTTCCTTAATATAAGCCCCTAACAGATGTAAATAGTTAGAATTAAACAACTCCAAGAATGAGGTAGTCTTAGAGTTAAGATAGATTTACCCCAACTAATAATGTGAGAAGGTAAATTAAGATATATATTTAACTTTTAGAGATTCTATTAATGGTTCATTTTTACAAGGAGAATCTCCAATCAAGAGACCCTTGCCTATTAGACCAAAAGAATGTAAAATCATTATATAAAGCTAATAAACACATAGAAATCTTCAATGAGTGGGCAGCAGTTATTCAGCAGCAAGACAAGATTGAAGAATAAAAGATTGCTCAAGATTAAATGAGACATAAGATTAGACAGTTTCAATATAAGATGGAGTTGGATCAGTAGAATGCCATGCATTCTTAGCTAAAGAAGAATAATTAGACTTATAAAGTTTAAACAGAGCAGGAAATGCTGGACTATTTGTCGAAAAGAGATGAGGCTAAGCAATTGGAGGAAGAGGGAAAGCGATAGAAAGCTAAGTTGTATGTGCAAGAAGGGATTCACTTTAGCTTAGATTAAAAGCGCAAATCTGAGTTCTAATAGAGAGAGAAACTTAGATAGGATTCAGACAACTATAGAGATCAGATACTTAGACAGCAGCAAGAATAAAGAGAGCGATAAATCAATGAAAAACTTCAAAGGCAAAATGAGTAGTTATAGTATTAATAGGAATTATAGAACTAGGAACAAATGAAAAAGCAAACACATATTATGTAGAAACTTGAGGATTAAAAGCTTACTCAGGATTATAAGAATAAACTAGAGCAAGAGGAGTAAAACAGACAGTAATACTTTGTGAATCTGCATCGATTTCAAGATAAAAATGACTAGAAATTAAAAGCTCTAAATAACTATCTTTCAGAAGATCTTCATTAATTAGCTAAGAAAGATGAATAGATATATCTAAAAGCAATGCAAGATAAATTGTAGAAAGATCAATTGATGGATGAGGAAAGATAAAGAGTGCTGGCGAAGAGTAAATAGCAAAATATTTAAGGACTGAACAGCCAGCTTTAAGAAAAATAAATGTAAAAGAATATTCAGTAGCTGGAGAATGTTAAGTATGGAGAAGAAGTTAAGAATCAACTAATGAATCAGTAGCAACTAGAATAGAAACATCAAGAAGAATAAAAGTTAAAGTAAAGAGAGTATTTAAATCAACTTGGTTAGTAATTAGAGGAGACTAGAACAAAGAGAAAGTATGGTGCTCTAATGACAGAGCATGAAAGAAGGGTAAATGATAAGCAAATAAAAGCCTATGAAAATATGGAAACTCGTAACACTGATGCCAATTTAAGACCTTATGACTAGTAAGTTTAGGAAAAATATCTGAATAAACTGTTTTAAAATCAAACGATGATGCCTTACGCTCTAGATACTTCATAGAACGGACAAGATCAGAAGGTTTACTTCAATAACTAGCTGAATAGCAGCACTGTGGTTGGATTAAATTAGAATATATCTCGAAAGAATCATGTCAATAAATCTACTCTTCAGATAGGTGCAGAGAGTTAATTAGGTAGTATTAATACATCAATTGATGGTAACATGCTTGAGCAAGTCAAGAGAAACATGGAAAGACCTGAGGCTTTGAGATTTAGAAATAATACTGGTAATAAAGCTTATGGATTCGACTAAACTATTTCTAAACAGTAAGTAAAACTTAGTTCTAATTTATTATAGAGTTCCTAATCATAGAACAGTCAATGCTGAGGAAAATATGTATAATTTTGCTGTTGCGGGAAATCACAAGATCTAGCAAAATTGATAAAAATTATTATGATAACTGAAATTAGATTATTTGATTATTACCACTGATTCAAATATTCATTGAAAGTGGGGTTTTGGGGTTTTGGGGTTTGGGGG